GCATTTGAACGGGATATCGGTTGCCAGTCGAAAACCCCACCACGTCCTCTGGCATCGCGGCTGATCGTCCACGCCCGATTATTCAGTGAGGTAGCCCCATCTATTCATGGTTAACCACCAAGGTGGCTGTTCTTCTATTCGCTACCCGGAGACGGGTTCGGTACCACTCAGTTATGCTATCCGTAGACAGTTCATTGCCTAAGGGCCGATGTGTATGAATAACGTAATGAACTTGTCTGGTTCCAGATCATTCGCCGAGTGAATCGTGGTACAATAATCTTCATGACAAAGACATCATTATCTGTTTCGTTCGTGATCGAGATACTGCTAGGTTGCTTAAACCGAAACAGGTAATTTTCCTAGGTATTCACAATTAGAGCCTTCGACTAGCCAATGCCTCATCATTATTGCAGTCTGACGGTGTTCGAGAACCGCAGCCCAGATTACTCAACTACTCTCACTCAATCTACCCAGACCAGACAGTCAGCANTAGTGAGGTTTTTTTCCAGCTTTGCTAGATGAGACGGCTGTTCGTAGCTCTTCAACTCAGCTGTTGACTTTTCGGCCACCCACCTTGGTACACATACACACGAAAATGCAGTAACACTTCCCCAGCCGATATTTTAAGGAACAAAATTTATGATAGCATTGTCAGAAGGCGAGAACGAGTCTTCGCCCACTCCCGTATGCCTTACATTATGGATTAGGATTCATTTATTGATGTATATTTTTTGTTTTCAATCTCACTGTGCTTTGTCAAAACTAGGCGTATACAGGTGTTCTGTTGCAAGCTAGTGGGAGAGATTGGAGAAGCATGTTCGCATTGTGAAATCTCGAACAGGACGCAAGTTTTCCGTAATTAGAGTCTTTTTTGTGGACACGCCTAAGGGATGTGAATAGTAGCCGTGTTTTCCTAGGTTGCCCGAAATTATAAAGAGCCAATGAAGATGAAACCAAGGAAGATTAATATCCAATAATAAAGTGTCATGGGATAATGAATAGTGTGAGTTTGACAGATTCCTCGTCACATTTCCCCGTTTAACTCATCCATGATACACACACAGATTACTTGGGGTTTGCTGGCCAAAAGCTGTAAAACGTCCCTCGCTGTTCGTCAGTTGCTGCACAGTTACGCAGAGGCCTCACAAGCTAAATCGGTTCGTTCGATTCAACCTAGCCGCACATTTGTTGCCTCTCTGTTTGCCGCTTCGCGTTTCAATTGGGACTTGAAAAGGTATCTGCTTCAGCTGATGGTAAGGGAAACGGGGATAGATGAAGACGGTTCTGGACAGGTAGCTGACTGTTTGGGAGAACTGGAGCCAGATCGACGTCTAATCGCACAATTGGAAATCGATGTGGCGCTGTTTCGTGACCTTCTCCGTAAAGACGTCATCCCCCGTGGTGAGTTCTGTTTGTCAGTTTCAATTTCTATTGCCTCTTGTTATCACATGGAGTTAGGTTAGATAATGTGAAGAGTAGGGCTTTCGATGGCTTATCACTACAATTCACTCGGCTTTAGGGTATGCCTATTCCATTGGGGCCTCTTGTGGTTTTCTGCTCCGACTGCCAACGTATTGATTGTTGATTCCTAGTGGATCCTAAGAAACATGATGTCGAATTCGAATGTGATGCCTAGATGTACTTTACACATTCCTCTCTGCCCGTAGAATTTCCGGTAAGAACTCGGC